AGACAACTCCGCCGCCACCAAAGACGCCCGATGAGCTGGGCCTGGTGGCAAATCGCTTCGGTCGACTCGATGTCAACGATGCGCCCGTGGAGCTGCGCATACACGAGGGTCCCGTGCTGAAACCCCATACGCAGCGCCTGCTGCACACGACCTCGTTTGCCATTAAGCGTCCGTCGCTAGCCAGCCGCAGCAGCGGACGCTCCTCGCTGAGCAGCGCCCAGTCCATGTACAACATGCACGAGCTGAGCACCTCGACACGTTACTGCAGCGACGCCGAATTGATATTCGATGCGGGCCGTAAGGCGGCCGCCTTGCTGGATGAGGTGCAGCCGCAGCTCCGCTCCACGCTAAAGCCCACACACAATGGCAGCGTCACGGATGATTTCTATCACGATTTGTATGCGGCCAAGTACAGGCTGCCGCGCGTTAACCAGCGTCAGCTTAGCCTGGACGAGGACACCACGGCCGCCTAGACGCCCCACCAGCTGCGCCTAATGCATACTTAAAATCAACAAAATACCAAAACTCTAAACTCTACGCACTCGCCTCATTTAAGCAGCGTCTCTTAACACACTTTACTAACTAATCTGCGCTACATTTACCCTTCCCTATACACTGTTTGCTTTTGGTGCTAACTACACACACACATATCATAATAACTAAACTATAAATAATTTCTGACTATTCTTGAAATTCTTTCCTTTTTCCCCCTTTTCAAAACGCTGTTAATCGCCATAACAAATTATTTGCCAAAGTTTTTTTTTTTGTTAATTAAAAAAATTAATTAAAAAATTGTTTGCTTATCTATTATGCCAAATATTAAATTGTTTAGTTAAGCCAAAGCCCGCGTCCTACCCCGCAACCGTTGCATTCCGTTTAGCAGTATTATATAATGCAGACCGTACTTAGACCAAAAACAAAGAATAAAAATTTCATAAATTAAAATAAATTAAATGCTGTAAAATAATACTTATGAAACATGCCAAGCATATACACTTAATTACTTTAATCATATATGTATATGTATGCATTGATATTCACTTTCATGATGCTTCACTGTACACACACATACATCACAACAACAACAACAACAACCACAACAACTACGCGCTGCTTTTCATATAAAAAACAAACGCAAAAAAACAAATACAAAAAAAAAATCGAAATTATGTTCAAAACAAAAACCTTTTCTTGCCGGCTCTTCTTCTATTCGTAAAGCAACTACAACAGCGGCTGCAACAAGAGGTTAGTCTATGAGTCTTAACTCTATACTATCTATATCTATAACTATCTCTACTGACAACACAGCTATAAGCTATATACTATATTAATTATTAATATGCATGCTTAATATCAAATATATATACTTATCTAGATAACTAATCTTATATAGTCGCTATGTAGTAGACACATTGGATGTTGTGTGCTTCAAAATGTTATTGCGTATGATTTGCAAGAAAAAAAAAGAAAACAATATGTTAATAATTTAAAAAAAGACTTGGATTAATCAAATATTATTTAATTGAATTTATTCTGTGTTCAGCGTCTGGAGGAAACATTTGCCCAGCAGCTGGATGAGATGGAAACCTTGTATGGCGGCGCCCTGATCGTTTCTATGCCCGCGGATACATTGCAGCGCGATCATTTCACGGGCTCCACGCGCAGCAGCCTCAGCTCCTATTCCGAGGGATGAGCCCAGGCAGCAGCAGCCGCAGCAGGAGCAGCAGCTATGCAATAATTGTCAGCCATCCATGAAGGCTAATGCTAAAAGGCCCATCCCCTATCCCACTCCACATATCTATTAAATACATAATATATATGCATAGATACATAAATATATATATACATATATATGGTAAATGCCAAGCAGCGCGTCGTTCGGGTCAAGCAAAAATTTGTGTCGTTAAACTTAAGCATAAGACGTAATTTTACTTTTTTTTGCATTGTATTTTAGCCTACCTATTATTCAATTACTCATACTTACTATAATAACTATGTACATGTCCTATCTCTAACTCTCTAGCAACTGGCAACTATATATATATACGCATATATATATATATATATCTATCGTAATATGCGTGCAGCAAACCAACCAGAGCAGAAAACAAATATTCTACTTAATATACACAATATATATACATAATTATATATTAATTGTTATCCAAACACAAAAATAGACAAAAACAGAATTAACAAAAAACAAAAACAACACACAGATCTTTTGTTGACCTTATCGCTTTTGTAAATATATTTACATAGTTATGTATTATTCATAATTAATGAGTAAACCATATACTTAATCCTTAATACAGACATACAATACTTAGGTATATGATATGAGTTGGTATATGGGAGTTTAGCAAAAGTTATTATGGCACATCTTAAATATGTTAGACGTTGGGGATTCCAATCGAAATGGAGCGTGTGAGAGATGAGAAATGATGAGATATGAGACAAGCGAGAGACAGAGACGCTGGAGTATGATAAAGGATATTTATATTTGTAAACGTTTATGCTTATATATTTTATATATACATATATATATATTTAAATTTAATACAAGAAAAATGCAAACAAACAAAAAAAATAAATTAAAATATATTTAAAAAACGACCAAAATATAAGATTTGTTAATTTTAACTACTTTTTGCTGCAGGGTTTCAAGCAAATTTACTTGCTTAAAGTTTTATATTTTTTGTCCCTTGTTTTTGGCCAGAAAACGTTTTTCTTATCATTTCATAAGAAAAATTACGGCTTTGCTAGACATTGAAGTTTAAAAATTTCTTCACATTGACACAAGTATTTGTGTCTAAGATTGAAGAACATACTTTAAATAATTTTTCGAAGTTGAAATACAGAAAAATATTTGTATTAATTTTTATTAAAGTAAATTTTTAGTTGTTCGTAATTTTTTATATTCGGACTGAATGCACTTTTTTGTCTAAAATAATGGCACTCTTCCTAGACTTCCCAGTTCCAAAACTACTTAATGTTCAAAAAATTATAAAAAATAGAATTTAGAACAAACTTTGAATAGTGAAAACCTGAAAAATAATGGTTTAAATTCTTCACATCGAAAAAATAAAATCTGTGGGACAATCCAGAATTTTTTGAAAATTGTAATATATAAACTTATTTTTAAACGATTTTGAATTGAGTTTTTCAGTAATTGTGAGAAAATTTACAAAATGTCAAAATAAAGGACTTTTTGGATTTCCAACAGACAAATAGTTTTTCAATGTTGAACCGACCGGGAAAATTTGATTAATTTTTTAAGTAAATCATTCTTAAAGTTGAAAGATGCTTTTCAGAATCGTGAGTACCTTTTTATGAAAATATTGCCTACTTTTGAAAACTTTTAAGGATTTATTTAACATATGAACAGTACCCACGCATACTTTGCCCATTTTGCTGGAAAATACATATGATACTAATGGAAATGTTGTATAGAGTCTAGGATAGTGCCCATGGGCTTTTTATGAGCATCAGCCACAAGTCAGCTGCCGGCACGCATTAGGTCTCGGCCATTGTCCGGTTTAAGCGCAACTCGAGTTGCTATTAATAAAAGCAAAAGGCAGAGGAACAAGCAAAAGAGATAAAAAATTCAAAGACACTCGTGGTATTATTTAATTGAAATGTGAGAATGCGCTTTTCCAGCGCCTACTTCACAAACCCAACGAATGCCCCAACATACCGAAACCGAGCGCCATCATCATCATCATCGTCGTCCTCACCATTCCATCATCCTGCGAGTCCCATTCAGAGACACAAGTTGCCACTGCCGCTACCGCTGCCACTGCTGCTGTTCAGCCTGATGAAGAGTACAAACAGCAACTGTGCTACAGTTTCACAGAAGCATGCTTGAGCCAATGTCCCCTTGGGGCACAAGCTCATCCTCCTTTCGCCTGCCTAGCTGCCTGCCTGCCTGCCAGCTAGCAGTTGAGCATTTGGACTCTGCACTTGGCTGTTTGCGACTGTTTCATTCATATTCATCCATTTAGTTTTGTGTTGTGTTTTTATTCTGTTGTTGCTGTTGCAGCTTAACGATACACTTCACGAAAGTTGTTGTGCTGTGCAACATTTAAAAGTTTTAAATTAAAACACGGCATTGTCAGTAAACATGTAATTAACAGGGGTCTAGAGCTCATATCGTGTTAGATGCTGGGTCAATATTTTGTGTGAAGTTGTATTTCTTTAATTGGTCTGTAATACATTGTTAAAAATGATGTGATTGTGATGCCAATTAATTTTATTCGAAGTATAGTATAAGTACAGGTAGGTATTATCCGGCTTTGACTAGGCTTAGGGTTTTTCTTCAAATTTAATTTTTCATTTTGTACGTATGTAAGAAAATACAAATATATTTAATTTTTAGTGCGCACTTTAAATTTGTTAAAATCGTTGAAACATTTATTTATATATTTTTCATGCAGAGCTTTAGAAAATATGTTTGAAAATGATCGGGTATTAATTTGAAATCTGAAAATAAATAAATAATTTAATAACAAGATTTCATACAACAGTTTTTAGTGAAATTTTCTGTTAAAAATTTGTTTTTATTTATTGTGTTTTGTTTTAATATATTGCATGAATATCATAAAAAGGACATTACCTTAAATACCGCTCAGTGTACGAACGCATACGACACTCACACACACACGCGCGCGCATTGTAACAGTTTTTCCGCTTTTGCTCACCCACACACACATTAGCCGGGCTGGGGCCATTATTGAGGGTGTTGCTGAGGATGCTCGCCGTGTTGCCCAACAAACACAAATTCCAGCACAAAGCGAAAGATAACAGCTTTGACACACACATAAACACACACACCCATACAGAGGCGGACACATACACGCGCTCACACCCACACATATAGTGACAGGCACACACAGCTTCCTGACTGGCCAGAGCCGAGAGTAAGACAGAAAGTGAGAGAGAGCGAGAGCGCGTGCGTTCGTACTGTGTTTTGCTCTCGTGGCAAAGGTACCGTTAAGGTATGTGCTTGAAGCTTTTCAGCTTCAGTCCCGGACGAGATTTAGCAACGTGCGCTTGGTTTCATCAGCAGCTCTCCAGCTGACGGCGAACGCGTGCAACGCGTAACGTGAAAAAAGCAACGTTTATTTATGCGCGGACAACGGATTATACTTGCGATAAAAAAAAAACAAGCACGCTAAAATAAATAATTTTTTAATAATACCATAACAATATAGTGGAGCTGGGAGTGCTGTTGTGTAACCGCGCTTAAATTTGTATAAAACTAAATAGAAAATATAAAAGAAAATCGCTTTATATTTGTATCTATCTATAACGCAAAAGCATAAATTTGATTACAATGTTAAGCGCAGGCCGAATGTAAAAACTTGGGGGCCAGCGCTCACACGCGAAGCGCGTCAGAGCGTTGACGGCAGCGTCGACGTCAACGTCGGCGTTGACGCAGCGGCCCGCATTGTGTATAATAAAATTTGCGAAAAAAAACGGCGGAATGAATTGAGCCAGGCAGCGACGCTGACGCTGACGCCGAGGCTGATGCCAGTAAAGATGTGCGCGCACAATACAAAAATTACAAAGCATACTTTTGGGAGCGGCAAATGGTCAAAATCAACAGCAGCGGCAGCAGCAGCCAGCAGAAGCAGCAGCAGCAGTACCATCAGCCAGCAGCAGCAACAACAATGTCAACGCTACAACGGACGCTGAGCGTGCACAACTAAGCTACTTAGTGGTGGGAGTTAAGCATACAAACCGAGACAGAGAGAGAGACAGAGAGAGACAGAGAGAGAGCGAGTTTAGGAGAGCGAAAGCACGAGTGCTTTACGCCGCAACGGAAGACCCATGTAAGTGGTGAGAGCAAGAGCGCTGTTTGCGTGTGTGAGAGTTGGAGCGATGCTGTCGTGTAATAATGTGTGAGAGCTAGACCGATGCTTGCGTATGCGTGTTTGTGTGTGTGTGTGCGTGCGTGGCAACGCCGTTTTGCTGTTGCTGTTTCCAGTGCTCTCGTTTTGATTAAACTTGCGAATTGTAGGTCGGATCGGGTCGGCGGGGTGCGGCAAACAGTTCGCAATATGCTTAGCATTGGGCCTGCCACGAGCATAAGGTGAAAGCAACCAGCAGCAGGCAGCAGCTAGCAGCTAGCAGCCAGCAGCACAGCCATTCAATTTCCGCCAACAGGCAAAGGCCAGCGCCAGAGAGCCAGCAATTAAACTCGCGCAAAGAAATTAACATAAAAGCTAAGCAGCAGCAGCAAACGCACAAAAGTCGGCAGCTAGTTTTTTTCTTTTTTTTTGCTTAAAAGCTTAAGATCCCAGTGGGCGGCTATGTGTGTGTGTGTTTGTGTCAGTAGGAGTCTAGCGGGCCTCCATGTGTGTGTGTCGAGCTGACAGCGCCCGCATTAAGCGTAAAATAAAATTCTACATAAAATTGTACATAAAATTGTAGATTAAATAAAGGCAGCTGCTGATGAGCTGATCAAACTTGAAAGCATGCGTGTGTGTGTGTGTGTAAATTGGTTTCTGTGTATGTGTGTTTGTGTGTGCCTGTCATAAAAATAGCCTAATAAATTGGCAAAGGAAACGCCGCGCATAGCCGCAGGTTGCACGCGCGTATGTGTGTGTGTGTGTTTGTGTGTGTTGGTATGTTCATAATAAATCCATAAATCCTTTTTTACGGGCGCGGCAGCCAATTCGATTATTTGCCAAGAATCGACGGCCAACAAATTTGAATGTTAAGCTAAGCCGACAGTTGGCCAAGATTGGCCTTGCCCAACATAAGCTGACGTGGCCAAAAGGATGGGCAGGCTAGCCAGGCTAACACACAGACACAAGCACACACACGCACACATACACACACAAACAGGAAGCGACAGAGGCTACTAGAATTTGTTTTCATTTTGTTGTTCTTGTTATTTCGGCCAATTATTATTCTAGTTGTTGTTGTTGGCATTTGTTGGGCTCCAATTTATGGCGCTCTTCATTTGGGTGTTCGTTTATTGGCCACTCCCCGCACGCCCCGAACGCCCCCCGCTTTGATTTATGCGCATGTTTGTGCCATACTAGAATTGAGATAAATATTCGGATTTGTGATTGATTTATTAACTGGCTCGCGTCTAATTGGCCGACGATTTGTTGCGACTTGCTCAAAAAACAAATTTGTGGGCTATTTTGGTTGCAAGTTCAATTTCATTCACAAAACACTTTGACAGACATGTGGAAAGCTACAAGTTAAGCACTTGTTATTTAATTAACATTTTTAATTTAAGCACAACTTTGTCCTCATTCAATTATGGCGCTCATTACATGTTGTTAAAATGGCTTTTTCCTTTTTGCATACTTTTTGAATACTTTTCCTGTCACATTTTTCTGAGCGGCTCTGACATAAGCTTTGGCTAATGCAAAAGTTCAGCTCTTGTTAGAAAAAATGTTGTGCATAAAATGTTGGGCATACTTTTAGCTGCAAATTTAAACAGAATTTTGATAATTAAATTGTTGAAAAGGACATCAAATACTTTTGCTAATGATGTTACATGAAGTTGGAGTCAAACAAATTTAAATATCTGAAATATGTAGAGAAAATCGGATTCTCTGTAGTTAAATTTTGACTAACTTTCTTTCCCAACACTCCAATTCGATAAATATGTGTTTCATTAGCAAATTTAAAGATTTATATTTATATTATTTCAATTATTTTTGTAAAACTGTGCTCTTCGCTTCCCCACAAACTTCATGGGAATAGAATGGTAAATATAATATCAATATTGAAATTATTATCAAGCAACCTTCTTCGATTGGTTTTAAGGCAGTGTTTTTTATTTCTTTATTGTGCTCTAAAGTTCTTTAATTTCAAATATTATATTTTAATTATATGGCTACTGCAAAGTTTAAAAAGCTTTGGATATATTTGCCATTAGGTCCCCCATAAATATGCTATATAAAAATATAAAACTTTAACATGAAACTGCATTAAAGTAAAGTAAAGTAAAGTCTAAGAGCTTTTAGCCGTATAGCTTAGTGTCCGGGGCTTTAAAAAGTTTAATTTTACCCTTAACTTAATATTTAACTAGCTAGTTGAACAAAGTTTAAAGCCCGTTGGGCGCTGGCTTGCATTATTAACTGAGTGGATAAGGCAGCTAACAAGTAAAAGTGCTCTAGCAAAAAGTGACTGAATACGAGATATTCTGTACGTATACAAAAATAGTTCGTCTTCATATGCACCTGCCACACACGCACACACAACCACACACACATTGACATGAAACTCTTGAATAATATCTTCCGTAACTGTCCGATCTTTATAAAACTCTTGAGGCAAGCAGATAACATCGAAAGTGTATATATGATAAAAGTCAAAGCCAGACCAGAGATAATTTTGTTATTGCAAGCTGCCCGATGCAACGAACTGCATTCCACCTACTGCCCAACTGAGCGAGGGCAAAGTCGTGAGCTAATAAAACGAATATAAACTAAGACAACAGACAGGACTATCTACTTGCTCCGAACTGAACACACTGTAATTCTTATTGTAAACAGCACAGAGGACGCAGAAGGGCATATGCGAGGCATAGTTAGTAAAACAATATTTCTGAGATAAGGGTTAAATAAAATTTCTAACAGCAATCAAAATCCTATTGTTTAAAACAGCAGTTCTCACTTAAGTTTCACCCCAAAAAAAAATGTTATTTTAAATTTGTTAATGCCGAAATTTGTAGTTAAATTAACAATTTGCATTTCTTGCTCAAACTGTTTTCGCTACTTTGAACCGTCTATCAATAGAATACTGATTGAAAAATAATTAAATTTTAAAACCAAATAGATTGAAGCCTTGCCAGCTTAGTTCTAATAAAGCGTAAAAATCATTTAGATTTAATAACCATGTGCATTTTCAGTGGCTGGCTAAAAGCTTTCCATCATCAGTTAATTTAATTGTATATATTGTGAGCACACACATACGTGCACGCAGACGGGCAGAAATCTATTTTGGTCTCGGCTTAAAATCCCATAATTCAATTATAAACTTATGTTATTTATTTTGTTGCATTACTTTCCCACTCATTTTTCATGCTCAGACGCTGAAAAGCCTTTTGACACATTTTGAACGTGATTTGTGCTGCGGAAAAACATAACGCACGGACAATGCTCCAGCATTGAGACATTCAGACAATGCTGATATGATATGCTGTCAATGCGGCAGAGAATAATGGTCCACAACTTGCAATGGACTCAATACGAATCAATCATGCCGCATATCATGTCAGATAAATCAGTGAGCGAGGCAACAGAAAAGTCCGCCTCGCACCATGCGGCGTATGCGTAACTTATTAAAAAACTTTCCAAATCAAAACACAATGAATAGACTGTATATCAGTGTGTGTCTGTGTGTATGTGGGTGTGTGTGTGTGTATGTGGGTGTGTGTGTATGTGTGTATATATAGCCAATGACAACATCAATAGTTTTGAAAACTGTCAGAGGAAGCCGCCTTGAACATTTCCGTGCCAAAGTGCTTAGGGCGCGGGGGGTAGAAGGCGGTTGGGTTGGTATGGAGGAGCTGTTTCGAGTCGCCAGCCAAGTTTTTGCCTACACTGACTGTTGCATGTTGGCCCATTGTTGGCTCAACACCAACACCAACACCAACAACAACGGCAGCAACGCAAATAATACTAAGCGTGGGCGTGGCATGTTTATCTGTGACTGTGCTGTGACTGCCAAGGAAACGCATTCAAGCAGTTTTTCATTTACATTTTCATTAAAACAAATCACACAGAAAATGTCATTTGCAAAAAGGACAAAGCAAAGCGGCCGCAGGCGTCTTCTCCTTCTCCTTCTTCTTCTCTCTTTGTGTGTGTGTGTGTCTTTCTTTGAGCGGGTGTGCGGTTGTGCGGCTGGTGTTGGGGCTTCTGCTCGTATCAAAGGCCTGCGACAGCTCATAATTCTCTGGTTTTTATTGTATTTTTTGTTGCCTTTGCAGGGCCAGTGCAAAAATGCGCACTAGGAAGGCGCCAGCGCCAGCGCGTGGGTGCAACAAGGATAAGCAGCAGCTACAGCAGCAGCAGCAGCAGCAACACCAGCAGCAGCAGGACAAACGCCTGACACAGCCTGCCATTTAGGAATCACAGCCAAACGCGAACACAAGCAAATACTATATAGAATATATATACATATATATGTACTACGCAAATACTCAGCAGCAGTTGAAATCAAATCAAATCAAAGCAAATCAAATATCACGCATACGCCATGGAGCCAGTTATGAGTTTGGCCTTGGCTGCCCATGGGCCACCCAGCATACTGGAGCCGTTGTTTAAAACCGTAACTACGAGCACAACCACAACAACAACAACAACAGCTGCGACAACAAGCAGCAGCAGCAGCAGCCCCACAATCAGCCCCACAACCAGCACCACATTGTTAACGGCCCTGTTGGAGAATCTGACGTCAACGGCAGCGAGCGGCTTCTACGATCCGTATGGGAATCAGACGAACGGCACATTGGGCTTTGATACAAAGGGGCCGAGGTACTCGCTGGCCTCGATGGTGGTTATGGGCTTCGTAGCGGCGATTCTGAGCGCGGTAACAGTTGCTGGCAATGTCATGGTCATGATATCGTTCAAGATCGATAAACAGCTGCAGACGATCAGCAATTATTTCCTCTTCTCGCTGGCAATTGCGGACTTTGCAATCGGCGCCATTTCGATGCCACTGTTTGCCGTCACGACCATACTGGGCTATTGGCCGCTGGGGCCGCATGTCTGCGACACCTGGCTGGCCCTCGACTATTTGGCCTCGAATGCCTCGGTGCTGAACCTGCTGATCATCAGCTTCGATCGCTATTTTAGTGTCACACGGCCGCTGACCTATCGCGCCAAGCGCACGACCAACAAGGCGGCCGTCATGATTGGCGCCGCCTGGGGCGTCAGTTTGCTCCTTTGGCCACCCTGGATCTACAGCTGGCCCTACATCGAGGGCAAGCGCACGGTGCCCAAGGACGAGTGCTATATACAGTTCATTGAGACGAATCAGTATATTACCTTTGGCACAGCGCTTGCGGCATTCTATTTTCCGGTGACCATCATGTGTTTTCTCTACTTTCGCATTTGGCGCGAGACGAAGAAGCGTCAAAAGGATTTGCCCAATTTGCAGGCGGGCAAAAAGGATTCCAGCAAGCGTTCCAATAGCAGGTGAGTCTCTGTTCCGTACTCTTAATACTCATTGGTAATTGGTATGCCAGTTTAGAAAACTAAAATGCACTGTTATCGCCATGTTATCTACCTTGGCGAGCATTTGACGATAGCAGAACTATGCTGAAACTAAGCCAACTCGATATGTTGTATATGCAAAATTATCATGAACACAATTAGAATGTGTAAAAAGAATATGTTTTTGCGGTCAAGTATATATATTCTTGATCAGGCCAACGAGCTGGGTCGATCAATTCATGTCCTTCTCTGTTAAGCGTTGTACTCGGGTACTACAAAAGCTAGAGACTTAAGCCTTAATATGCCAAGCATATATATCCCATTTACATACTCGATAATTATCGATTTTCAGTTTTTAAGCATTACTCGCTTACAAAATATAAGTTCTTGTGTAGTATACACAGATTTACTATATTTATCTTTATAGTTTCTTTCCCACTCGGCACATTTGCCTAACTCCTAAGTGAAACTCTTTCTTATATGTATATCGCAAAACTTTTAACTTTTTCTTCAATTTCTATTTCAATGCTAATTCTAATTAGTATATCAAAACGTTTTGCAAAAGTAAGCAACTTCCTTTTAGGGAAGAGGATAGCAAGCGACTGATGGCGGGTTTTATAAACAATTTTAAAAATGTTTCGAATAGGTCTCAATATCCACGCTCTGTTTTACTTTAACTACAGTTTCAAGATTTTTACTGTGAAAGTTAATCAGAACTACTTCCCACTGTGCTCTGAAAATTTCTTGTTTTTATTTCCATTTCGCTCCTGTAAAAATGCTTATCATGAGTAAAGGACTCAAACTAAATATTAATTAGGTATTGTGACTCAGTGAATAAATTAAATATTTAGTTGCTTTAAATAATCAACTAAGAATAAAGCAAGCAAATTGTATTTATTGCAAAGTTCGTAAATATTCAATAGCATAGTTTTCAGCGCCTTTCGAAGTTAATAAACAAGTCCAATATTAAGTTAAATTTCCACTCAATTTCAGCGAAGAAAACACCGTGGTGAATCACGCAGCTGGCGGCTTGCTGGCATTTGCCCAGTTGGGCGGCAATGATCACGACACCTGGCGCCGACCGCGCTCCGAGAGCTCGGCGGATGCGGAAAGCGTTTACATGACCAACATGGTCATCGATTCGGGCTATCATGGGATGCACTCGCGCAAGTCAAGCGTAAGTCAAACACGCAAATGCATGCATTTTCCGGCCGTTATACATATGTACTTATTAGTTTTTCTTTCGTTTTGTGCACATGCAGATCAAGAGCACGAATACAATCAAAAAGCCATATTCATGCTTTGGCAGCATCAAGGAGTGGTGCATCGCGTGGTGGCATTCGGGCCGCGAGGACTCCGATGATTTTGCCTACGAGCAGGAGGAGCCATCTGATTTAGGGTATGCAACACCAGTAACAATTGAAACTCCTTTACAAAGCTCCGTCTCCAGGTAGTACAAAAAAAGCAGCTCTCTTTTTAATCGTCTTATTCGAGTAAGCAAACACTGCACCCAGCCACACACACACACACGTTTACATACACACACACACACACATATATATATATAGCATACTTACACACACTCGCCTGCTTGCTATGTGTTTGTGCGTGTGTGTGTATGTGTGTCAGTTTGTGTGTGCGTATGTGTGCCTTGCATGTGTGTGTCTCGCATCTCAAATGCACTCAGAGCACTTCATCCAAACAAACAAAAAATCAACTCGATTCGTTTTTCAATGCCTGTCCCCAAGGGAAAAACAAAAAGAAAATAATTTCCATCACACAACGGTTTCATTCTGCACATGCACAGCCATCAATAGACGCACAGTGCACCCGAAAAGTACTCGCATCGTTCCACAGTTACACAGCTGAGTGCACAGCCATGGGAAAGCTCAATAGAGAATTGGAAACCTTTTTCGTTTCAAACGCTTAATTTGTGGCAACTTTGCAAGCTTCTGACGAGAGACTTTTTTTTTGGCATTCAGTTTTTGTGATTTTAATTGGAGTTTGATTTGTTTTTGATTTGTTTTCAATCTCTTAAGACCCTATTGGCCAATTGTTGTAAATAAATTAGTTGCCACTAGACGGGGATTCTTAGCTGATTTATCTTTGCGTTATAATTGTCATGAGGGCTAAGATTTGATTTGCAGAAACTTAATTATTTACTGTTTATATAATCTCTTATATATTTCTTGTATTTAAAAATGTGTTTGCTATTTTGAGAATTTAAATATGAGTAAGAAGGCGTTTAATTTCCTTGCTGGCAATATTTTTCAGTTTCTTTAAACTAAAAGAAGTTTAGCATTTAGCAAAGCATTTAAGTTTTTACAATTATAGTCATAAAGAAAAATAATATATATATGTAATATAGGTATTTTTTTTTAATAACACTATTTATTTATTTATAAAAAAAATAAATACATATATTTAAAAAAAATAAAATAATTTAACCGCTATAGTTTTATATTTTTTTTTCATAATATTTACTTACCTTCACCTTTTAAGTGTTCCTTAAAACTATGAAAATCTAATATCAGTCTGTGCCTTGGCATATTGAAATTTTCATATAAATATTGACATGATATTTTAAAATTAAATTATTGTTTTTGATTAGATGTTGAACTTGATTGCAAATAAAGATAGGTGTTATTTTTGATTAAGAACTAGCTGTGTTTTTATTTCATTAAGAATTTCTTATCAATATTTATTATTTACAGTTCTGCAATTTACTAAAGAACTACATTTTGGCTTTCAATTTTCCCTTCATGTAAGAAAATAGCCTCAAAATTGATCACATTTCAGTTTCAAAGAGCTCCCAACGAAAAGCAATTTCAGTTTCCAAGTCTCTTGCCTGCTTTTCCATTTCTGTGCGTTAATCACCTGTGTGACGTGTTTGTGTGTGTGCGTGTCTAGTTGTGGGTGTGTTTGGCCATTGGACGGGACAGTTTGCACCCGCGGCTCCATTTTGTTTGTTGTTTTTGTTGTTGTCGTAGCTTGTCAGCTGTAAGGCCTGTCAATGTTGAGCACCAGATGCCACCACCGTGTGGAGGGGCTTTACTTAAGAGCGGCATACCTTTGTGTCCATTTTGTCGTTCGCAGATGCACCTCGATGAACGTCATGCGGGACAACTTTTCGATGGGCGGCAGCGTGAGCGGGGTGCGGCCACCGAGCATAATGCTGGCGGATGTGTCGCCGACGCCGTTGCGTCCGCCACTCAATTCCATTTCGCAGATGCAAATGCAGGAAATTAATGCGACCGGCAATGGCAACAACGGCAACGGCAACGTCAACATCAATATCAGCATTAACAGCGCCAACGGCAACGGCGGTGGCGTCGGCGTCGGCGTAGGCGGCGGTGTTGCCGCTGGTATTGCCAGCAACAATAACAACATGAATGGCGGAGCCAACAGCAACTCGAATGTGAACACGCTGCGTGACTCACGCACGCTGCCCGTGAGCAATCGCATCGGGTCGCGCTCGGTCAGCCAGGACTCGGTCTATACAATACTCATACGGCTGCCGCCAGATAGCGCCAGCGGAGCGAATGGCAGCGGCGGCACTTCGACCGGCGGCAGCGCGGTGGGCAATTCGAGCGCGCATGGCGACTGTGCGCCCTCCATCAAGATGATACACGAGGATGTGTCGGCGCCAAATGCGACTGTGGGCGTGGTAACGGCGCCGCCGCTCACGCGACGACCGCTGCCGTCGAGAGACTCGGAGTTCAGTCTGCCGCTGGGCAGGCGCATGTCGCATGCACCGCACGATATGCGTCTGCTCAATGCGAAGGTCATACCCAAGCAGCTGGGCAAGGCGGGCGGCCCGAATGCGCTGCTCAATGCGCGCAATGCGGCCAAGAAGAAGAAAAAGTCACAGGAGAAGCGACAGGAATCGAAGGCGGCCAAAACGCTCTCGGCCATATTGCTGAGCTTCATCATCACGTGGACACCGTACAACATATTGGTGCTGATCAAGCCGCTGACCACCTGCTCGGACTGCATACCCACCGAGCTGTGGGACTTCTTCTATGCCCTGTGCTACATCAACTCCACAATAAATCCCATGTGCTACGCCCTGTGCAATGCCTCCTTCCGACGCACCTACATACGCATCCTCACCTGCAAGTGGCAATCGCGCAATCGCGAGGGCATGGTCAGGGGTGTTTACAACTAGAGATCCGGCAGCGGTTCCCAAAACCCAAGCAAACACATTCAATTCATAATAGTTGCAATAAATGTTGTGCGCAAAATTAAAACCAAAAAAAATATATATATATACTTATTAATAAATGAAAAATTGTTAGCAAAAGCAAAAAAACCAAAACTAGGCTTAGGCAACACTTTGACAAGCAGTACTGATTTTTGATGTCTAGCCCCCAATATATAAATATATAAATACATATATGTGTAATAACAATATCTGTGGGTTGCCCAATAAGTTTCGCACTTGCCAAAGATAATACTCGAAAATCAATTTCCATTTGGTCCCCTTATTAGGAATCTAAATTGAACGTCAATCATTTTGAAAACGTTTCACAGTTTTAAATGCCAGATATTTGAGTGCCAAAGCATGTAAACGACATCATTCGAAGAATTTAATACATCAAATACTATTATTATATTCTCCATAAAATATTACCATAATAACCACAAGTAAATCTTGTAAAAATGGCAATTCAACCAGAGGTCTGTGCAAATTTTGTTCCTTAAATTCTAAAGCTTACAGAGTTCAGAAAATAAAATATATTAATCAATAAAAGTTCATTTAAACTCATGGTGATTTGATTAATTAGAACAACTTTCAAATAGCTACAATAGATAAACAAAAATATTATTCCAAATACTAAAGAAAACACTTTAAGAATAAATTGAACACTTACAGACAACTGAAATTAAACTAAAGAATTCTCTTTGAACATATAATTTATGATAAAGGTCTTCCATTTGTAATAATGTTCCGAACCGACAGAAAAATACAGTGCCAGAGAAATCACCTAAAAAATACAGAGTAAAATCAAAATAAAATTTGCGATTTGTGCTTAGGCTGCAAAAAAAATAATAGAAAATCAAGAATCTTAGCATGGTAACTATATAAAATCTTGTCCCAACCTTCCCCAGTAAATGCGGCATTTGGGCAACTTATTGAGCAGCCCTCGTAGCTTCTAGTTAAAGCAACCACATCACAAAAGAAACCCATTTTGTTAGGCGTTTACTTTTAGGTAGGCAAATGCTCCATGCAACAAGAATTTAATACAAATATAAAGGATTACGATTTGTAATACATTATATGAATAAATATATATATTATAATATTATGTTAAATATAAAGCGAATATACCTATGATTAAGCTTAAGTTGTTGGCGTATCCAAAAACCGAATTGAAAAGCTTTAAAACAGTTCAAACAACCGCGACCAACGAATCGCAGTGGGCACTTTTCCAGGTGGCGATGACATCTTGGATAATGCGGAAGTCTACATTTTGGCTAGCCTGGTATGTGATTTTGCTGTTCGTTGTTTTCATTTTTAAGTTTTGATAGTTTAGATCAGTTTTTGTAAACCAAAGTTAAATTTATAAGTACCAGAGGAGCGAGAAGTAGTAAAGGGAGAAGCAAACAAACATCAACTATGCGTAAACCAAGCAAGTTTGTAGCATTAAATTAAAAACAAAAGCAAAAAAGTAACACAAGTATATGTATCTATTAAGAACGTAACCCACCATAGTTCAACTACTAAGAACAAAACTTTTGTAACTGTTGATTAAAACTTTGTAAAAAACAAAAAACAATTGAAAGATATAAAACGTAAAGAACTTAAGATACAATTGCAAGTTTATCGAACGAATGACAAAAGCAATAGCAATTCAGGCACGCGTCACACTCAAGGGGGGGGCAGTCGATGGCCAAGAGAGAGGGAGAGAGAGAGGTAGGAAGAAACTATCGCAAATCTAAAAAATCTCTATAAACTTGAGTATTTGACTTTGGAGAAAGTATTGCTTGGCAGCTAATAAAGAGACAACAAAGAGACCTGCACAATAGAGAACGTTACATAGATCATGCTAGACCCATAGTTAGAAACATATAACAAAAAGGTTGTGCCGTTTAGGAAAGCATCAAAAGGATATATCGCAAAACGAGATTGTCAATCGAATGGCTGAGGGGCTTATTTATGGGTTTCAGTGAGATTTAGCAGAGAGTACACCATCGACTGCCCAATTTGGGTTCCTCACGAAGAACTTAATTAAACAAGAACCTGTTCCGAAGGCACCAACAATATAAGAAATTGCATACATATAAACACACTCACACACATATATACATATAAATATGTATATATGTATTATTGAAGCATATGAGAAATAAAATACATACAATAGCTTAAGCGAAAGACAGACACAAAGTACATATATACGTTAGACAATGTGAGAAGCGCAATGAACAAAAGCAAAACCAAATCCTTTTTATCAATTTGTAGTTAACTAAAAGAAGATACAACAAATTGGATAACCTCATCGATGAGGTATCCGCAGCTGAAATCAAAGCAACATTTGTAGTCTCAATGGCACCACTCAAGTATATACATATACACAAATTATACTACTTATATGTATGCATAAGATATATATATGTTAAAGTAAATAAACTTAAAGGCAAACCAACCAAATGAAATTCCAAATAACAAAAAATCCAAAAGACATGATTTACAACCACGCACACATCCAAATGAAGCATGCAGAAACGATACATATATCTCCCCAAACAAGCCCCAGATAATTATATAGTATCACAAATTGTCGGAATCTGTGAAATGGTTCCAAAAAGAAAAAGAAGAAGAATAATGCAACCAGCGTATTTATATGAAATGAGATTAATTGCATACAATCTAATTGTTTGAAAACATACTACGATATATGAAATAACAAATAATTAAATTTAAAAAAATACATATATGAATTAAAGCTAAAAATAAAACAATGTGAACAAAAATAACTTCAAAACTGTGGTTTTTTTTTTTTTTTTATTAAATTTCCATTAAAGGATGTGAGTAAAATCCTAGTCATATAAATAGATTCTATCTTTTGGTGTTTGGCTGGCGTGAATATTGCTTAAAGACAAGTAAGTACTTTAAATAGGGCTCAAAATATGTTTATATAATATATAGAAGCCTTGTTCACAGCGTGAGAGAATCACAAGTATGCCCTTGTATACCCTGAACCCATTGAAAATGGGTAATGTATTTGTGGAAATGTATGTAACAGGCAGAAGGAAGCAACTCCGACCCTCTAAAGAATATATATTCTTGATCAGCATCAATAGCCGAGTCGATCTAGCCATGTCCGTCTGTCTGTCCGTATGTATGAACGCAAAGATCTTAGGATCTGTTTAATCGATAAGAATCGAGATCCTGTTTTTTGAGGAAACCTCTTAGGTTTTAAGAGCTAGAGACACCTAACTTGCTGTATGAAGCTATATAAACTAAATTTAGCTTCTAGAATAATATATGCAAATCATTTTATATAATATTTAGAAGCTTTATCCATAGCGTGAGGCAGTCAACAGATATGACAGCTGCTCCTGTATATGCTCATAATATATATTTCATTTTTATAGATTATAAATATTGCGTACTATTCCATAGATCAAACTTTAAGTTACATTTATGCACATTTAAAATTGCATATAAATTTATTTAATCAATCTTAATAATCAAATGATACAAAATAAGAAAGTCTAAATGAAAAAAATATTATATTTTAATTAGATTTTATATCTTTTACAGAATAAAACAGCCTTTGTTTTTGATAAACAAAATACGGAAAGTCATAAGTTGAAAAACAAAAGTACCAATTATTTGCTATAAGATTTTTATCACAATTTAAATACAAATTATAAGAACATTGCACCATAAATTGGGTTTTTAAAAACATAAATACTGAGAAAAATGTGCATTGAGTTTTAGATTAACTACGTTTCTTAGAACGTATATTTATTATATTTTTATCTGAAAAGATTTATATATATATATATATATATATAAGTTTTTAGTTAGCAGAAAACACTCAAATGTTGCCCAAAGATGTTCGGTTAATAACATTTACGTGTGCATTCATTTGCTCATTTACGTGCTCAGGCGAATGCATTCACGAAAGGAGCCCCTGATTCCAGTGCCGCTTCTTGGTAAAGCTGATTAGTGTGAATGGTACTTAATGCTAAAAATTAAGTGTGAATGGGGCTTAATGTTGTGAAGACTCTTGTTGTTGCTGCTCTGCGGCTTCCAACGCATCTTCCACGCCATCATCCGCCTGCTCGCCGTGGCCACGCATTAGCAGCTTCTCTGTGTTCTTCTGTATGCCCTCCAGTTTCTGCTGCATGAGCTCCTGGCGTCGCTGTTCGGCGCGCTGCTGCTTCTCCTCCAGCTCCTCCAATGTGAGGGGCTCCGTTTCGGCGGCCTGCTGCATCAGCTGCTGGAGTCGCTTGGGCGGCTGACGCAGCGTATCATTCAATGGAACCGCTGTTGCACTATTCTCTTCTTCGAGCGGTATGGTAAACGCCTCCGAGGCCGCTATTTTAATGGGTTTTATTGATTTTGAAGGGACAGTTAATTGAGGGGACGTGACTACTTACGATATTCCTGCTTGGGCAAGGCGTCCATTTTGTTCGACTTTGCTTTTGCTGGGTCGGTCGTTGGGGCTGGTTTTGGTTTGGTCTCGTCTATGGCTGTCGTGGACTTGGAATTGGAGCAGCCCATGCTCGGCAGCTCATCAGGCGCAAGGCATTACGCTAAAACTTCCGTTACGGGCTGAGGGCTTTGGTTTCTCTGACTTTTAAGCGGAATCAGTTGAGCTCGTTGATGCTGATGCTAATGCTAATGCGATTTCCTGCTCTGCAGTCTGGCTACATCCGCTGTGATTCGTTCTACGCTGTGGCTATTCAATTTCCGCTTCGAGACAAGCTGCCAGCTCAGTCATTAGAATGAGCCTGAGACAGCGTTTAATGGCTCATTAATATTGATTTTGTGTGTGTGACTGTGTGTGTGTGTGTGTGTGTGTGTGTTGCAGGAGGACACACACCAAAAATGCGGCCGTTTGACAGCGCGTCGCAATGAGAACTGAACCTGGAATTGCAATGCAAATGTTTTGCGCTGGTCATTAATAATAATCGTTGGGGCGCAGCCAGGACAACTGTCCGCTCACACGATCAATACTCATATGTGAGCGGTATGCTTATTTATTCCTATTTCGCACGTTGCCTACACTACAAAAAAAAAAATACATTTTCATTTTTCACATTTCTTTATTCCTAAAACCAATAACATAAAAATGGTAAAAAATTTAATGATGATTACTTTTTTAAAAATTTCAACTCAGATGATATTTAAGACTATATTACTTATTAAATATTGATATAGTTTTCATCTTTAATATATATGAATGAATATTTCCAATTTTTTTATATTTTCATATTAATATGCAAGAAATGAATGTAAATAGTATAAAAATGTGACTTCTATTCCTATATTTTTTTTTTCCAAAACATTTCAATCCTCAAATGATTCAGTCACAAAATTCTGATATAGATTTAAATCGGATTGAATGCAAATTTTAAAAATTATATTATGTAATTTTAACTTTATATTTATTTATTTGTTACACATTTCATTACTGAAAATTTTTCATAAGTTCTCAAATGTAATATTTTTGTAAATTTTTAAAATGTATATTTCGCAATTTTCTAAAGTGGCGATTAGAATTTCTTAGCGTGTAGTTGCGTGGGTGTGGTTAATAAAGGCAGGCAAAACAAGCACAGACAGACAGTGAGTGGCACACCCGCTTGCACAGTGGCCTGAAAATGGATAGTGGACACTGACTAATGTCAATCAACTCCAGCGCGTGGCAATAATCAACTCTAATTGCGGTTTCATTTGCACACACATAAACACAACACACACACGCACATACACTCGCGGGCACACATGCAACAGCGCCCGCAAAAGTTTAGTGACCCACTCAACTTTGACCAGAGGCATAAAGGGGTTTACTTTTTGATTTTTACAGTTGCCCATTGTCAATGCTGTCGCATGGCCATAAAAGTCATAGCACACTAACGGCTTCCGGCTTGAAAGCTGGCCAAGAAGCCCGCCGAGCATCCGTTCGCCCCGCGGCCGCTACGGAAGCTACGGCGCGTGCCAAGCACCGCCCAGGGCGTTCACATGTTCATTTTGTATGTGCCACACGTTGCGCCTTTGTGGTCAAGTGGCCGCTCTTGGCATGCAAATGGCTTGGAACGGAAGCGACGCCGTCGCAGCCAATTGCCAACTGCTCCTCCAAGCCACACAAATGTAAACGGTTAAAGGGAGGCTCCCAAGAACAACAACAGGTGCGCTGAAGAGGCCCGGCCTCCCACCCGAACCCCCTTTAAAGATAGCTACTAAGTAATGGGCGACGTTTAATTAGGTTAAGTGTCAATAAGATTATGTCGTCAATCAATCAATTGCACAAACACACACACGCACACACACACACACAGAGGCACACACATCAATCAAGCAGCTAAATACCAAAAGGCATTCTTATTCAGTTTCTTTTTTCTATAGAGCTCGCTGGTAATGAAATACACATGTGTATCTATGTCTAGATATAGTCAATATATTTAGTTACTTGGGTGGGCGTCCACTTTGAATGCGCATCTCAACAGAATTGTAGCTGCAAGACCACTGACAACAGTTCATATACCCTGTAATTATGTGGGTAAGAAGCACGCTCGTTACTACTTATAAAGTAGTACAGAAAGTCAAAAATAACACTGGGTATAGGGGTAGGTATATGTATTTACTGCCTTGCTTGGGAAGCCTCTTCTCTATTGAAAAGGAATTCCTTTTATTGATAATGGTAAAATAAATAATTCAATAATATGGGTAGGATTAAAGAAAAACTACTTGGTCTCAAGGTACAGACGACGTATTGATATATATTGGGCACAGATACAAAGTTCAAATTTGGTTACTATGCAATAATAAAGTTATGAAACGGATATGTAAGCAACAAATCATACTAGCTTAGTTATACAAAATAATAAATTATATATTAATATGAAGGATTTCTTTCTGTTTCAAAATCATTTCTCAACTGTTTATTAACACGAGCCTAGAGAAATAGGTCTGACAATATATTTAAAAATTAAGTCAACCTTCAGATCTGTCAGTACTTCTGAGGTACAGCTTGGCGGTACAACTCGAACCTAATATAATCTAAATATTAGTTATAAGTAATATATTTACAAATATATAAAAATTCGAAATTTTTAAATATTATTTAAATATTTAAAATACTTACTTAATTCTTCTTCTTCTTTTCTTTAACCAAAAAGCCAAAATATTTTGTTTGAATTACATATGTTTTCGGTTTATTTAAAAATACAATTTAGAAACATTTTCTCGGTTTGTTGTTTTGCAAAAAAAGTGGTTTGTGTGTATAATATAATAAAAACAATATAAACTATTAACAAAGCAACTTTATATCTGCGGCTTAGGAACATTATCATCATCATCGGCATAATCATTTCCTCTTCTCATTAACTTCATCTCAGCTATTCAATCTCATAGAACTTGTAAACTTTATAACTTATGCAATTATCTGCCTCCGACAGCTTGAGGCAGTTCCCAGGTGAGCTGCGAGCAGCCAGCCCAAGTTTTATATAGGTATAAAAATAGTCTATATAAATATGATATATACGTATATAGTTATATGACTGGGAGTGTATGTATGATCAGCTTTTGACCAACATTATGATAAAAGGCGCGTGTATACTATGGTAAGACTTGTGTGTATATGTGAGTGGGTGTGTGTGTGAGTGTGCGTGTGATTGGGCTTGTGTAGATGTGTGTGTATTTTGTCTTGGATTGCATGATTAGATATGGATTTATAATATTTTCAATTTGTTGTCATAAAAGCAATCTCCATTTATGCCGCTTCAGCGCATTGAAGAACGGTTAATCATATTCCTGTTTGATGGATAAAGTTTTCTCGGCACTTTTCTCAGACTTCGGATTGGAGCTGGTGACAGTTGCAGCCGCTGGCGTGGACTTGCCTTTAATGTAGCTGGCCACTGAGGAGCTCAGAGGTATGGTAACATACTGATTGCCATCTGCAAATAGATTGATAATAATATTATTAATAAAAAGATTACTATTAATAATACTAATTTACTAAAGCCTTCTGGCTAGGAAAATGTATAATATTACGGATGTACAAATGTTTAATTAATATAATATGAGAGCTTAATATACATATTTACTAAACCTTAAGTTCTTAGCTACCAGATTAAGATTTAAGATTTTACGGTATACATAACATCCGAGATATATTTTACATCCCTAATGGACTCTTTGTTAATTTATCATAAAATACATAAACTATTGGGTAAACTTATTTTTGACCCATAAAGTACATCCTTTATTTTGCTTTTTGTTGAGATTTTTCAAAATTTGTTAACTGTATAAACGGTGTTTTTTATAGAAAAATTGCTTGCAGTTTAAATAGTTTTCTGGAACACATTTTGTTTTGTCATGAAAAACATAAAGCCTTGGGGAAACTTTTTTTAAGCTTAAAAATACAAGCTGCATTTAAAAAAAAAAAAGTTAATTATAAATCAGTCAAACTTTTGCCTAGATAACTCATAGTTTGAGTTGTTTTCAGTAACTATATTTACTATGCCATAAAACAGTTTAAATAAATGAAGGTTTTTGTTTGAACAACTTTTTGTTATAGAATAACTATTTGGCAGATACTAAAAGATTCCAAAAGTTGAGCTATCTAGTTTGAGTTCCACTCAAGAATATTAAAAGTCAAAGTTGCTTTGCCATATCATTAAAATCGAATGCTCAGACCTGGAGCCAGCTAAACTAAAATTTATAAAATAGAAAAGTCGCCAAAACTGGCATTAAATCGAAAACAATATTAATTAATAGAAATTTTTTTTTATAAGAATTATTTTTAGTCAAAAATTTTTCCATTTTTTGCTTTATTTACTTGTAGCTTAGTTAAACTATAGCTAACCTAAGAAAAATATGGCGCAGGCTGCTGAGTCCTTCGGCTATACAACAAATATATATTGCATGAAAACGAAATTATAATGCACATAACTATATTATGTAACTAATATAGCTACGTATATACTAAACTATACCTAATAATATCTACCGTTTTTAAAAACGCTAAAAACGCCTCTTAATGAATCTGTTCTCTCGTCAATCATATTTGTTATAATTAGTTATTTTGAATATAGTCACATTCTTATCCTTATCCATTCATATCCTACCCACCTTCTTCGGCATGCACCTGCAATTGACCCGATTGTATTAGCTGGCGCAGCATGTCCGGCGGTATATTGGCAAACGAGGTGGCCGGATAAACATATTTGCTATCTGGAGCTGCTGCTGCTGCTGCCGCTGCTGCTGCTGTTGTTGCTGCCGTGGACGTCGAGGGTCCAGTCTCAGTCTGATAGCTCAATGCTGCTGGCATTAATTTGCTGCCAGCGGCCGACCCTGCTGCTGCTGCTGCTGTCTCTGCCTTGAGCTCCTGAGGCGCTGACTTGGCGGCGTCGGCATCCATCGGCATTGGCATTTCCACATCCGAAGAATCATCCGATTCGTTGCCCGACGATGTTGGCGAACGCTCATCCTGCAAGACAAGAGGAGACAAGAGATTAGAGAGATGCAGCCAAACAGTCTGGTCTGATCTTAAGCCAAAGATGAGCTGCCTGGCTGGCTGGCCTGGTCTGGCCCGGTCTGGCCTGGCCGGGACTGTTCTATATGCCGGCCAAGTAAGAGACTGTGTGTGTGGTGTGTGTGTGTGTGTGTGTGTGCCTGGCACAAAAAAGCAATATGCTTGCACCAAATATGGCGCGAAATTGCGTATAAGTGCTGGCCGCGTTGCACGCCGGCACGCATTTCAATGAGCCAAGAGCGCAACTCGTTGCCTTAAATGTGCACACGCGTTAAAGAATTTAGAATATTGATTTCTGGCTCTGTAACCGAACGTGCAGGGGACAACTCATCATCATCATCCACATTCGACGTCGTTGCAGTAT